GACATAAGGCGCCCTTTCACGTAAGCAAGGACACTCGTGGGGGGCTGCCGTGGCTGCGGCTGCAAGCTGTACTCCGAATAGCCCACGTGCACTTTTGCGCTGTTGCATAAATTCCAACCTTTTGTAATTGTCCGCAAAACCAGACTACAGCAATTTACTCCACAGTACGCGTCGATGTCAAGCCAACAGATCATACTTCTTGTCGAACTAATGTGGCTTGGTGGGCTCAACTTTTCGATACCTGGGGGAAGCAAATCTAGCGCACAATGATTTTACGCCCTCTTTATAACAGATCAGTGCATTTCATTAGCCGCTGGAATGAGACCATGGAAGTCAGTTTACCAGTAGTTGTAAGATAGCTCCTGTGGATGCGAGTATGGAAGCGATAGCTCTAGCCCGGCTATGACCATTAAGTGGTCACTGGATGCCAATGACTCTAGGACATAAACATGATACACAAGCTGTTCGCAGCTAGTCAACATCAAGTCAAGGCACAAAAGAAGCTGAGCACGTTGTAGGGCGTGTTGGATTGCAGATGTGCTGTTCTGCCCCAATCCTAAATATCGTTTGAACAAACTTCGCCTCAACTTCCCTATGTAAGGGGAGAAATTGAACCTTAGACTGGAGTTACAATCACCCATAAACAAGAAACGGAAATGATTCACATTGTTTCGAACATATGGCGACTAGTCCAAACAGCGAGTTGGCGGATTGCAATAAGCCACACACCAACAGTACATCACGTCACCGGTGGATAGCGCACCCCAGTAGCTCGCATAGACCATATTCGCTTAGGTAAATATTTAACGGTTTCATGCACAGGGAAAGAAAAATGTATAGCAGCCTAATATCGCGGTCCTTTGATATTTAGTTGCAATGGAACACGAGTAGTCAGGTAACTGGATTTTCTGGGCAGTTACTACAGGATCCAACTAGGTCTCAGCCAGTCCTAAAACGCCTGGCTTCCGAAACAACAAAGTGACAGCTTACCACATCTAATCGACTGCAAATATTGGTGAAAGCTACGCGCAAGTCGTGACATGCATGTATGGTATTTGACTTGTTGGTTCGGATACGGTGAACCCGGGGAGCTCTACAAAAATTTGCAATGCGAAGAATGGTTTCCCCGTTTTATCTCAATGACAGCGAACTCGAGTTTTCCAGATCTATTGGATTCATTTCCGCGCGAAGGTGGATCTTCAGACCTCTTAGGCTACCAAAACGGTAAGAATCAACCGCGGACTAGCTTACTCAATAAAAGTGACTCGGATAGATCGAGGCTCCTCCTCATCACACTTTCTAAGATGAGCGCTTAGTCACACTCTTAACCGCCTGTTTACCCAAATCGGAGAGGCTAACAATCAGACTAAAAAAGCTCTACATCGTGACCACAGTCAGTTGGAAAATTGGAATCAATTTAATCAGGTGTGTGATATATAATTCGACAGAAGCGACTCCGGTCGCTGGTACCTGCTTGCTCCTACATCCTTCATTTTGTGTTCTATCGCATATCTGGACGTTAGTGCCCGAAGGATGCAACACATGGACACCAGTTGGGTCTGCAGCAACGAATGGATATCGTTCCAAGGAGTTAGTACCTGGCTGTCAAATAGGCTCGCTCAAACACAGGAGTGGCTAGATGCCAGTTTGTTGGCACACACACGGAGATTCTTGTTCTTCGTGATGGCTCGTATGATTTTTCGACTTATTCTGGCTGTATAATATCATGACACATCCCGCAACATATGTAAACAAACCCATATTGAATTCCACGAAGAACTTTAAACTAATCGATGGATAGACCAATGTTGGAAATATGAAAATTCACATGATACATCGGTTCACCAGGAGTACTACCATTGTGTGTAGGTGTTCAAGGTTATTGCAGAAACGAGAACCATAATTCATCACGGAAATCCGTTAATGGTAAAAGACACTCGTCATGTTCTTATTAGGGCTCAAATGTGTGCCTCTAGATTAAAATCAGTAGATATTAGTGGTGCATCAGTCGTGAAACTGATGTCATGCAACACCCGGTGATTACATGCGGGCTAGGTTACAGCAAAGCTTTTGCGTAGATTCAAACCGTTAGCTCGTGGGTTACATGCCCAACGTCCGAATCAAGCCACCATCGGTAAGTTTCGGAAACAGTCTAAATTAAGTTTATAAGGTTTGAGAAAACATCGATTAGGTGGAAAGAGTCCGATTACTTGAAGATAAACCGAACGATTGTGCGCCTTCTCTCACCACTGTGTGCCACTTACAGGTTTACCAGCAGTAGTCTAGTAGATTCAAGTATGCAATTGTATCAGTACAATAGCAAGTGCTGGCAACTGCCTATAACTGTGTACAGAAAGTAAGATAAACAAAATACAAAACAACTAACAGAAAGCAAGTCCAAATTAGATCGACAACGGAACTTCGATGCAATTCACTGAATCTCGGTGATGCCCGAGGCGGAGCTGTACGCTATCAGGTAAGTCTCAGGTTGCAGGTTGGGGAATGACTTCCTCCTGGAGGTAACTGCGAATATGTGTCGTTGGTTTTCCAGGCGAGGTGGATAAGCAGTCGTGGACAATTGGCGACAGCGTCTCAGAACGTGGGGTTTTAGGGTGATCAACTGGTTCTTCATCAAATACCACAAGAGGTTGTATGGTGAAGTGTCAAAACAAATGTGACTATAGGGTAGATGACCACTCACTTCGGTAACCAGAGGTGAGTACCTAACGAAGAGCGGATGAACAACCCTGCTGGCAACCGGCATATATGCGGACTGCTCTTGAACACAAGAAGGCGAATGAGCCTACTGGCTGGCAATGGTCTTCGTATTCAGTGGCAGATTGGATTTTTCAACGACATTAATCGCTCCGCTGCCTTATGTATCAGGTCCTTAGGACCGAAGGCTCCAAGTGGTATCCCTTAAGCCAACCGTCTTCCTCCGCATGGGAAACCGGGAAGCTATTTGTCCACATAACACATAAACCTATGTATCCCTTGCCATGACTGCCTTTTCTCATTTTGGCGCCCAAAAGCCCTTCGAGTATAGATTCCGTAGGCGTCTACGTAGTGGCTGTATGGCCACCGGTACAGTAAGAAAGTAGCGCAGTTAAGACAGCATTTGACCTAGTGACCAAGACGAAAGCCGTAAACTACTGGGTTGAGTTCCCCTCTCAGCTCAAGCTGTTTCTACCTGATGAGTCGCAATCAGGAAGAAACCGGTCGATTGTGGAGTACAGTGTTGGGAGAAAGCAGCTCCGAAACGCTCCACTTCGGATGCGGTCCCAGTAATCGAAATGTCATGGGTTTGCTTCAAAGCAAACTGTAGCCTCAATCGAGATTGTGTGTCGCAATCCAGACACATAGTGAGTACTCCCAAAACCAATAATGAGCATGTTTGTCAGATTTTTCATACCGAATCGTTTACAAGGCTGCCTTGAGGGATGGTTTGGATCACTCTAGTGTTTCACAGTACAGTGTTAGAGGAAAGTGGCGAAATGAAGTTGAGGAGCTGTAGTCCATTCCACGTGAAAAGTTGGGCTGGTAGTCAGAAGGCAAAGAAAGACATCAGCAGTAAGCCGGTACGCAGTACCGATTACTCTCTGTCACGCAACCAACACCAGTCGCGCGACGGCTAAGGATACTAAGAGGGGCACCCAGTCCCCTAAGTAAACTCGAAGCTGCGACCTACAGGTTGTAGGGCAGAAGTGTTGTCCTTTCGGCCACCGACCGTCCTGATAGTCTAACATGACCGAATACATGTCTGAGCTAGCAAGGCATGACACAGGCGCACATGGCTACACACGCAGACCTAACTCATGATTCAATCAGCAGATTTTCCGTGTTTTCATTGATTGTGACGAAGTAAGCTATAATGAATTGAGCCTAAACAGACGAAGTCAACTACTCCATAGCGCAAATGCCACTACAAAGGTAGATAAACACACTGCACGCAATATATAATGCACTGTCCGCATTTTATGGTGAATATATTTTGTCAGAAAGCAATGAAGTACATGGATATGGTCAGAAAGTACGGGAAGTTCGATGAATACGTTTTCGTAGATCGCATATCCCAAATTAGGTGACATAAAACCGGCGAAGAGTCCCCACTACCAAAAATTTAGGTATATTTATTTTGACTCTGTGCAACTAAATGACTGATGTTCCGGTTGAAAGAATCGAAAGGGTTTCTAAAGGCTGCGTCAACATGATGTCGTCATAAAAATAATTCAGTGAATGTCATGGAAGACCCGTTAGATCAGAAAATCGCTACCACAGACAGCTAGGAGCGTGCGGCCAGAAAATTATGAACACAGGCTTCTGGGAATAATGAGTTTATAATAAAAAATAAGAGGGTTTGCATATCACATCTAGACTCAGTCAGCCAGCCATCACACATCGGGAAAAGCACCGTACGATCGTCTAATTCTTTCGGGAATCGTCAGAAGTGTGGATTCCATCTGACCCCTCTTGGAATAGAATCCGCAACCTGACTTTTACCAGTCAGTGGTGAGGACGACTGGGCTACGGTGGAAGGTAACGGTCGATATGACTGTTACTAGATGTGTACTGAGATGGTTACCCAGTCCTCTGTAAGGCAGTGAAGAATAAGCGGCGCTATATCACATCTAGTAACAGTCACGTCGGTCGGCACCGCCTTCCGTAGCTCAGCGTTCTCAACAACAACAACCTGAAAAAGGGTTTCGGGTTCTAGCCCCACAGAGATAGATGGAATACGCACTGCTGACGATTCCAGGAAGAAGGAAACGGCCGTACAGTGCTCTTTCGGGTGTGTGATGGCTGTCTGACTGAGTTTACATGTGAACTTATACACATGAAATCGTTAACTAATCCGAAAAAGTTTGCTCATTTAAACCAGTCGAATGAAGAGATCACCGTCACCAAAAACATTTCAGTAATGCAGTTGGAAGTGACAGTAACCCCACATCCAGCCAACTGAGGGGAACAGCAATATCTAGTGGCCCTCGAGAAAAACTTACAGCATCCAGCTCATCCAATGCCTTCCAGTGAGCGATTGATGAACATGGTACATGCTCCGCAGTCTGGATGGTACGTTTCAAATAGCTGGTCCAAACTTTCAGATCACTCAGGTTTTCTTGCTGCATGAAAGTACCCAGAAGGCTTGCGAACTATGAACAGACAGACGACATCAAGAAATAGCAAGTAAGCACAGGTCCATAGGGTAGAAGTTAGAAAACGCAAATTGCAGGAACACACCACAATAAAATCGGTAGCTGAATGAAAGAAGCTAATGGAAGAGAAAAGTGGAAAAGCTAACAGGTTAAAAGATAATATAGAGGCTAAAAGTGGTGTTTGGAGCCATCCCGGCAATAGTGAGTGCGCTGGAGCACCTAAAGTGAGTTTCAAGCGTGAGTAACAATGGTGTAGAGAAAATGTTCGTAAAAACGTTGACATATGAATTGAGAAATATAATATGCATCCGAAGAATAGTGGGCTAAAATGTGGCTGGGCTAATTCCATGGGGATCTGTAATCCGTTCTGGTTATGAACCGTGCACGGAGGTGCGGCAGATTTGGTTGCCTCCACCCGCTTCGCCGAAAGGTAAAACTATAAAGAGATGAAAACGAGAAGAAAATTGGAACAGGAGGGAGGAGAGAAGAAAGAAGCCTTAATGCTCGTACGTAAACACGCTGTGGCACCTCATCTTCTTCCTGCTGTTCTCATAACTATGTAAAGCAGGATAAGTGGAAACACTGGGCATCTCGTGAACAACCGGAATGTCTACATGAAAAAGGGATGATTTAATGGGGCACACATATGGTCGGACATATGCAGTGAACGGGGATACGAAATGTAATAGTGTAACAAAGAATCGACCCAGGCTGTGTTCAGCGCGTGCATATTTCGCTGGGTTACAGAGGGGACCACAGTGTCACACAAACATAATCAAGGCAAAATTAAGTGCAAATGTGAACAACATGCTCAGAATTTCAAGAGAAGAATGCTCTAAGGTAACTGAAGAGCGGTAGTCACTGCAAGGTGAGAACAGAGTAAGAGAGCACCCAAAGAGATTCGCCCTCATCGCAATTATATGTGAAGTTCGTGCACTGGATCAGGGATGTCCAAAAGTCCGGCCCGCATGACAAATGCGGCGCACGTTAACATTTCAAGTGGCCCGCGGCCTGATCATGAAATAGTAAATTCAAGCTTGGATCCTTTTTCGTACAAACAATATTATATAAATTACAAAAAAATTAAGGATGTTATTAGCACAAAATCCAATAGCGTCAGATATTGGCAAAAAACAATGATGTTGCATAGTCTATATTTAACCAACCAGTAAAATGCAATCTAGTGTTTATACTAAAAGGGTCTTGACTAAATGAAAAAATAAAGATATTAGGTTTTCAGCTTCATCTATCCCATTTAAAAGTTGCAATACAAATTTTATGACATGTGTAATTTGTGTTAGTATCTTAATGTTAGACTGAATATGGCCCGACACATCTGTACCTCACAAAATGTGGCCCTCCTTGCGAAAAGTTTGGACACCCCTGCATTAGATGTATAGATGACATTTGCATAAACAAAACCACTGAGCGAGTCAAATACTGACTTATCCTTTGGTCCATTCCGGTAGCCAAATGAAAATACTAGGGGCTGCCGGTAATGAGACAGTTATGTAGGCTACCTAGAACTTTATTGCTTGGCACACGACTGAGATCAATGCGATGGTATGGAGAACGGAGGAAGAGACTGGTGTAGCCCAGTCGGCAGCATCTAAGAAGTGAAAATAACAGACCACATAGTTTAAGCAAAACCCAAAGCCAAATGAATTATGGTGATGAATAAGAGAAGCAAAACGAACCGTTTTTCCACGTTCAGTTAACGAACCGTCTCCGCCAATGCGCCCGGCGACGTTTAGGTCCGTTTCACCATGCTGAAGCAGAAAGGGTAATGGGATTATACTTCCAAATATCCTAGAGATGTTTGGCTACCTCACCGACCTTAACAGCGGACTTCGACTCCAGTCGAGCCCGTGAGGAAAAGGCGGATTGAGTTGAAAATCGAACCCTGCACGTCATGGTTTGTCGATAGACAATTAATCACCAAAACACTGTTATAACACATTAATAAATTATCGACGCAGAATGAGGTAGTGTAGAAAGAGCCAAAGCAGTATCGCTTACATCTCTGTGAAGATGGAGACGAAATTGAGATATGCAAACTATATGAGTGCATGTTGAATCATTGGTGGTAACGCTAGGAACATGATAAGACGACTCATGCAATAGAATGGGCAGAATCGGTCCGTAACCTAAAGTAGCGAGCTTGTCTTACAATTTGACGGCGCGCGTCCGAGCCTGCGTAGGGGCAGGGCGACCCTCGCAGTATTCTTAGCCAACGTGCTACCGGTGGTGGTTGCGCGGCAGCGAAGCATCGGTTCGGTGTACCGATGTACTGCTGAGACCCCACCGAAACCCTCCACTTCGGTGAAGGTCCCAGTGGCCGTATTTGCAGAGGCTGACTTCAACCGATTGCGTGTCGCAACACAAGCCACACGGTGGGTGCTCCAAATTTTTTAGTACAACCCACCCGCCTATTGTCCGATCACAATAGATGAGGTGCAGAGACTGGAATGGGTCCAACATGCAGCTACCCGGCTTATCCCCAGTTGACGGGGTATGTCGTACGAGGAGACTAGGGATGTATACCCTGTCATATGGTCGCCTTCGAATCGATCTCATTATGACGCACCGTATATTGCACCTATGTCGAGGCCACTACTGCACGTTCGCGCACCAAACGGTCCACGCGGACACCGGTACAAAGTAGTCGTACCGGCTTCAAAGCGCATCGTTCACCCTCCATGCTTTGAGCGTCGAATGGTACAATATTGGAACAAGTCGCCGGAGACGTTAGTCGAGGCGAAATCGGTATCGGAATTTAAGAGATGCTTGGATGTTCACCATACGGACTACAGGTATCGGGAGCGCATCGCATCCAGATAAGATGTAGTGCAGCTGCAATATGCTGCCACCGCGTAGGAATCAGCGACGTGATTCCGCAAGTGTGCCCGATCCACTTACAATGGAGCAACACCGATTGTATCATCTCGCTCTCTACCCTCAGTACGCAGTATTCTTCTTAACATCAAAGAGCACAATTTTTCGGAAAGCTGGTGATTGAGGGATCTAGCCACTCCAAGGACGAGGGGGATGAGATGCTGTTCTAACATGAGAGAAGCAAATTGTGTGCAAGAGTGTAAAAAGATTAGTAGCGATGAGCGATTGAACTGAGTATTAGTACTCAGTTATGCGGTATGAGCCTCTCAACCGAAATCCGAAAGGTATTTAGAAAATTCATTTAGAAGTCCAAGACGATAAGACGGATCAAGAAGTGAAACCGCTAAAGTGGAACAGAGTGCATGTGGTAGGTAAACGAAGTATAGAACGGTGCTGAAAATCGACGGAATTCCGTCATGGCCACAAAGTTACGCTTACCTCGAATTCCGCGAGGACAAAGTAAAGTTAACACTGAAAGCAAATGGCGGTCGTTGAAGTGCAGCATGAATGAGAGCGACCGAGAAATTGCCAAGTTCAACGAACAAGAAAGCAGTGGGATTCCAACGATGCGCATTTAGTGGGGAAGATGGCGAAAAAATATCACATGCCGTTGTGATGCGGACAAGGCTGGAGTAAGTGAGAGTAGTGGAAGTCAGACACACAACTAGAATTGGTGGGTGCTCGAAGATGTAGAAACTGGCGTGACTTACAAGGAACTCGTACGCAAGTATTTCCCATTGTTCGCACGTAGCTACGCAAATCTGCGGAGAACCATGGAAGATGTCATCCTAAGGAATCCTCGTAGCGAAAAGACGGTTGTGGAGTGATTCTATGGCCCCATGGGCACGAGGAAGTCAAAGAACGCATACGATGAGTTCATAAAGTCAGCCTCATACTATTGGAAAAGCGAAACAACGTGGTGGGATCATTAAGCGCAAAAGGACGCTCGCAGCTTAGACTTGAAGATGGATGCCTACTCTGGGGATCCAGAGAGACCATATTACCACAACTGCGTCCAGATGTTCTATAAGAGTTGCACAAAACTCACCCGGGAATAACAAGGAGTAAAGAACTTGCGCGATCCTATGTGTGATGACCCAATATGGACAGAGACACTGAAGAGTTAGTCCGACACTGCGACACTTGTCAATGCGCACAAAGAAGCACCCCACCTGTACTACTCAGTCCATGGAAATGGCCCAGTAAACCATGGGAACGTGTGCATGCTGACTTCTTCGACCAACTCGAGGGGAAAGTGTTTCTTCTTTTGATCGATGCTTGCTCGGAATGGATCGAAGTTTTCCCGCTAACACGAGCCACGTACGTGACTACAGTTTCATGCATGCGAAGGCGCTTTACAGCCTACGGTATACCACACAGGTTGTTGGCAGACAATGGAACCGTGTTTACAGGAATTTCTGGAGTGTCTGAAAAACAACGGCATACGTCACGTGAAGTCGGCCCCTTACCAGCCAGCATCAAATGGATTAGTTGAAAGGACGCTCCAAATTGTCACGAACAGTCTACGAAAACAAGTACCGGCTCCATTCCGAACGAGGTTAGACAAATTCCTTTTTGGTTATCGCTCCACAACGAACGATACGACTGGGAACAGCCCCGGTGAACTAATGTTCGGGCAGAGGTTAAGGACACGGCTAGACTTGCTGTTTCCCGATCAGAGGCTACGTGTCAAGGCCAAACAGGATAAGTCTAAGACCGAGTATGATCGGAGGGTGATCGATCGACAACTGGTTTACATCAAGTTTCTTAGCGAAATGAACTAGCAGAGTGGAGATCTGCGCGAAGTTGCAGGACAAAATATGGACAGGGCAGGGAGAATGTTCGTCCCCGCTCTGTCTCCGTTCCGCCAGCCGACGCATCGATAAGCCCGATTATTGTCGGAAGACGTGCAGAATAAATAAATCAGAGACTCCGCAATGTCGCTGCTCAGGTCGAGTAGGTCGACCAGTCGATGGATACCAGGCCAGCTGGGTTAGTTACAACTAAAGAGAGGAGAAAGGTGGCATCTGCGCGAACACTGCGCCGAACACTGTGTTCTACTAATGGTGTTTCAGTATGGGCAGTTGTAACAAAAGCTGCTTAGCGATTTACTCCCTGTTCCTGTGCCATAAACAAGACACCGAACAAGCTCAATGCATATGTGGTGGTCCCGCCGGATGTGACGTAAACTGCAAAGGCACCAGTACACGAGCGCAACAAGCCTCTTAATGTCTGCCAAGTTGACGGGCCAGGTTTCACAACCGTAAGGCGGAATAGAAAGAAGAAAGAAAAGCAATTTGTTGTTCATTTTCCCACTCCGTTTTTGAGTTTTTTGTTATCTTTATTGGGGGAGGGAAGGGGAATCACCGTAACAAGCAGAGATACACGACCGCCACTGAGTTCGATTTTGAGCCATGACTTCCAACATTTCCAACTAGAGGCACTCAGTATCGTTGGGGCACAATCCAAGGAGTCGAGAAGAACCAACGGAGGCCAGCTGTTTTGTCAGCTTTTGCATCCTGCTTCTCCAAGCTGGAGGCTGTCCAGCACAGCACCTCCTCCAACCCTGTCCAGCGACCGCGAAGAAGGTGCGACGCGAAAGACGCTGAACAGGCATACGCGGTACGTGTCCGAGTCATCGTAATTGGCGCGGCGAGACAAGCGCCTCGAAAGAGTGGCTGTCTCAACTCAAGACACGCTGTCTGACTTCAACCTTGGTTACGTGGTGCAGACGATGGGCCGCAAGCAACGGTACTCGAAGACAGACAGTCGGCGCAGGTCATCGGTACGAGCAGACCGAGTCTCACAACTGTACAGCAGTACAGCAAGGACGGTTGTACTTTATTGGCGCGGAAGGCAGCGATCACGTAGCAGACCGAAAAGCCACTAGAAAGAGTGAGGACTGAAACGGGCGTAGAAATCATGGGCGAAATCGGACGACGCAACGCCAATCCAACAATACGAGCAAAGAGCGGACCGCAAGCAACGAACGGGAACGGGCCTGAGCCAAAAAGTAAAGAAAAGTGATGTACCGATAGGCCAATAAATCAGACAGAAACACCTTTGGCGGTGTATCTAGGAGTAAGCCCAAGTCGAATAACGCAACCGAGATCAAACAAATCAAGAGTTTTAGAAGAATTCCAGGCTGATCAGAATGCGAGCTAAGGAAGCAAAGCAACAGGGTCAGACAGGCAGCGAGGACCCCCAAAGATGCAGACCAAAGAGGCACGGACGTGACATGCTGTGATTCCCCATGCGTGTTGTGTTGTGAGACGGAAACATGGTCGATAAATGCGCGCAGCTTGTGGAAACCGTGGTCGCGTGTACTAAGGATTGTGCTCTCATGCCGCTTTGTGCTTGCTACTGTACTATAAGCCCACCCTTTGATGGAGAGGCGGATGTTATGGCGGCGCCATAAAGGCCTCAGCCTGGAGAATGCAAGACGAGCTCTTGAGACACGCATCGAAATCTCGTCTCCAACAGCCCCGCCAGCAGTTATGCAGATTCCTAGGTAGATAAAACTCTGTACCCCATCTATGGTGAGTGCAGACAGGGGAGTATATCAGTCTTGAAAAAGCGCTTTGAACTTGGATGATGAAAAGTACATGCCATACTTCGACGCTTTAATCGCCAGGCACTTAAGAGCAAGTTGGATGACCTGCGGACCGTTACCCAACAAGACGATATCATCACCTAGCGTGGAGAATTAGTTGTCGAATTCCAGGTTACCAACATAAAATGACGAGCATTATGAAACAAAACGAAATAAAATAAAACATGGAAATAGATGGGTGTTGCTCTTCCCAACGCTGACCCCAAAGTGAACCGATGTCTCTATAGAGGTTGCGAGTCACAACCCTACCACACAGCGTGTTCCCTAAATTCTGCTTTGAAAACAAAACGTGTTTAGATGGACATGAAATTGGACTACCCGACTAAAATCTACTCAATTGAAGGAACGAAGTAAAGATAAGAGCATGGGTGTAAAAAGTCAAGTCGAACGACGAGTAGGTACGATAGCTCAGCTTCAAAAAGGAATTAGCATAAATTAGGAAAAAGTTATAATCGACTCAGAATTGGTGAATCGTGCCTAGCATTGTTGCGAAGTACAACGTTACTTATTTGGGCATCAAATCTAGAGCGGACTTTTTAAGATCTCGATTACATCGTCAAGTGATTGCCTCGACGCAGTTGGGGCAAGAAATTCAACTTTAAGTGGTTAGCAGCAAGGTGAGCCAGGTAAAGCAGACTGAGCAGGTATACTGGGCATTCGACTGAAAAATAGGGGCAGCGTTATTAACCGCCAGGTGACGGAATTGGACGCTATACATTTAGTGAGCCGATCAGACATGAGCGCTGGTTCATAGGCCCTGACAATAGCGAGTAAACAGTCTCATGTGGATCACAACAGATAGGAATTATTCGTCTGATTCAGACGGTAGCGACACCGTGGCCGTGGCTTTGATATGCAGCTGACGTACAAACGTATGTGTCGCTTCCCCCATAGGCAAACACAAATAAGCTTCGTTGAAAGTTGCCAATCAGTCAAGTGACTAATCCGGGGAAGTGACAGCCAGTGATCGTATAGCAGTGTCGACCGACCAATTCGACGTACCAAAAACGCGAGGTATTTGAATACCAACAAACAGAACAATCATAAATAGCTGCGTTTTGCTGAGGCCTCTAAAAGTAGCGCTTAGAGCCTAACTCATGCAAAAGATAGTTTATGGCCAATATTGCCCGCCTTGATAGGATAGCTTCATTTGTACAATTAACCATCGATTTCTGGTATTGGTCTGTCACTCCCAACGTCTTGAACTTTTCAAACATTGCATGCAAACAGCTGCGGAAAATAGGCGAAATTATTATTTCGCTGAAATGTTGCTCGTTCTAGTGCCCTTGAAATGCTTGGGAGAAAATAGTTGAATTAAATCATTAGCATAAGAACAAACAAACAGGTAACTCACGCGAGTCAAGTAAATGGTGCGTTTTTTCACTCGTATGTTCATGAGGTAATACGCAATGCGACTATTAATGTTGCCTAAGGTGGAAAAAGATACGTACCATCGTGCAGCAGATTCGTAAACAAAAACGTGGCAAAAGCGAATTTTGACAAATGTTGGTGGAATCTTAAAAATAGTTCTGTAAATCACTGCAGTAAGAAAATAAAAAGCCAACTACCATCTAGCACGTGGTGGGCGGAAAAGGTACAACGTTTGCCACACTAGACAGCACGAACGATCCCCGATGGCGTGTAGGAGCGGACAGCATGAAGATGAAGAAGTGCGTCCTAGCTTCAAGCAAATATGTTCATAAAAGATGGGCTTCGTCGCCACCGCGATAAAAACCAAGAAGCTTTTCAACGACGAATTTTGCCCATATTTTAACGAACTACGGACGAGTGAACCCAAGAAAAACCGAAGTGCATACAACTCAAAAGACAGATATTACAAGCCAAGTGGATGGAGAGCGTTCAGTTCACTTCAGTTGATAAGTCATGATCCGAACACCAGGGTGGATCCAGTTGTCACGACCGATATCGCAAGAATAACAATAAATAACAAAGTCAATATAGGTTGGATGCAAATGGAATGTAAAGAACATGGAAGCAAGAAGGAAGTGCATTAAATAAATCCGAAAAGGAGAATTAATAACCAAATGCAAGAAACCGAGTGCAGAAACGCCACTAACTGTAATGAGCCTAGACCCCATCGCAATGGGGTTGGACCGTACCGTGGTGCGATGGTTTGCCTGCCTCAGCGACTCATGGAGCTATCCTGGGTGGTGATTTCTTGAACCTTCAGAGCCACACATACCAGATTGATCAAGGGTTAGAGACCTGACAAATTCAATCTCCTGGTCCTCCAGATTAGGGGTTGGAGTGAGGGTGGCTCCTTATTCCTTAAAACGAACTCCTTGTAGCCCAACACCAAACCCGCTGCCTTGCGGTCAGGTTTTTGAACCAAAGGTTTTGGTTGAGAACCCTAATCGTTCTCTTGTCTAGGCCTGGGCAACCTGACAGTATCCTGCCCACGCAATACAATGAGTTCCACTTCAAACAGTTTCTTGATGCTCTGGCCACGGCAGAGGATAATCAATGGTGCTCTGTCTGCTGCATCGAGCAGGGTGGACAGGGGTTTGGATGCTAATGCTCAACCCCTCCCATCTTCTTATTCCCCCTCTTACGCTTTTTCTCTTACCGTCCCGTTCCAACTTCACTTTTATCTCCCTTGTTTTCAACCCCTGATTTTTGGCTTCCTTAACATGCGTCTACAAGACACGAATTAGGTGTGGATCTGCTCCCAGGAGAACGACTTCTTGACTTGGAGTATGCTGACGATATTTCCCTAATCTGTGAGAGCTCACAAACGTGCCAAGCCGAACTGGACAGATTAACACTGGCTGTCCGTCACTTCGGGATTTGCTTCGCACCCTAGATTCTCGTGTGCGTCATTCAAAGCTTTCAGCAACTGTACCGCATGCTTTTTGGATGACTTATAAGTCATCTACTCACTACCTGAACACTTCTCCCAAGGATTCCGCAAATAGCTCTTATCCATCGCTGAGGCTATCTACATTCACCATCTGAAGCCGGAATTATGTGTACAAAAACGGTTCATACGGCCGATACTACTACCTTGGCCAACGGACACTGTTACACAGTTATTTGGTTGTTATCTTACCTACTTAATTACTTTAGACTACTGAGCTTTGCGTATGCATGTTTATTTAGTTTACTCGGTTTACCATCTCTATCTGTGTCTCAAGTTATCGATTTCGACCATTCAAACAGTCCAGAAGTCAATCCCAGTCCGAGTTGGCGCTTTCCCCACAATCAGTGTTATGCAAACGTTTGCGTTTGATGAGAGTTTACCGAAAAGAATTCTTCATCCTGAACTGATTTCTGATATTGATTCATATTAATGAAAACAATATGTTTGGTTTTACACACTCCATTTTGATATTTTATGTTTTTGTTTCATGAGTTTTTGTGTACATTAAAGGGGGGGGGGTAAAGTTGCAGAACAACAACTGATGTCTGTTGCGGGCCATGACATCCAATGTTTCCAGCCACTGAGATTCAGCATCTCCTGGTCCCCAACCTGAAAGACGGACTGGTCCGACTGCCTCCAAACTTCAGGTTGTCTTCTTCATGCTCCTTCACATCATTGGCTGTCCACCGCGGCACTTTTTCCAATCGATCCCTTGGAGTGCAAATAGCGCTCGATATGGAAGGCGATGGTCTGGCATAAGCAAAACATTCCCAAACCAACGCATACGATGTCGGAGAATAACGTTCCGAAGACTGGCACTACTCGCTCCAAGCACTCGGTCTCGCACCTCTGCGTTGCTTACGTGGTGTTGTCACCACACCCGAGCAATCCTTCGTAGATGGCGATTGTCGAAGACTGACAGCCGCTTCATGTCTTCCGAGCGAATAGGCCGTCTCACAGCCGTACAAGAGTACTGCACAGACGGAAGCATTGTACACCCTGCCCTTGAGCTTGACACTGATATCACGACGATGCCATAGGTATCTCAGTTTGATGAATGAGGCGGGCCTTTGCAATCCTTTGTGAGACTTCATCTCCAAAACCGCCACCAGCCGTGATGCAACTTCATAGATAGGTAAAACAAGGAACTTACTCCAGAACATGTTCAGCAATGGTGAACGCGGTTTCAGACACCTGCCAATCCTGGAGCAGCGTTTTACATTTTCCCGGAGTGAAGCATAAGATGGCCCAAACCGCTCTGGACGGTTTGTGGGTCGTCCCCCAGCAAGGTGATATCATCGGCGTAGTCCAAGTCCAGGGAGGGGCTCAGCACCGCAGTTCTGGACACCTTCCAGTGCTCTTTGGACGACATCATCAGAGGTGAAATTGAGGAGGAAAGGTGAAATCGGGCAAACATGGCGAACACAGCTGGTCACAGCAAACGAAGAAGAGAGCGTGCCCTAAGCCCTGACTTTGCCCGACGTGTGACTGTAGTTGTTTCAGGATGGTTACAAACTTGTCGGGCACACGTTTCTTCAGTAAACAGTTCCACAACGCAGATCTGAATTTAATGCCACTCGGATGTCCAAAAACGCTACGATTGTTGGCCGCCGGTGGATGTGACGGAGTTCGAGAAGTTGGCGAAGCGTGAAGATTTGGTCGATGCAGCCGCGGCGTGGGCGAAATCCGACTTGTTCTTCTCGATGAAAGCCTGCGAACTAGGACCGACACGATGATTTTGGATGCGACAGAGATTAACGAGATTCCGCGGTAGTTACAGCAATTGTCGCGGGAACCTTTCTTGTGGATCGGAACAATGACCGATTCTCCTCAGGAGTTCGAAACCTCCTCCTCAGTCCAAACTTTCGTGAACAGCGATAGGATTTCGCTGACAAGTACACCCCCGCCATCTTGGAGTAGAGCCGGTGTTAGGCTGTAGGGACCAGGAGCCTTGTGGCGTTTCGAAGATTGGATTGCATTTCGGATCTCTGCTTCATTTGGGGGGCTGTGGAGAGAAACCAAGCAGCATCCATTGAGGCTGGAGGTGCCACAGCGGGCTGTGTTTAGTGGTTAAATTGAAGAGCGAATTGCTCTGCCCAGCGACCCAATCGCCTGTGAAGGTTGGTGATCTTCGTGCAGTCTGAGTCGCAAATCCTCTGGCTGATAGTGTGGGAATTGCAACCGGTGGTCCTGATGATGTAAAATAGACGGTGGAAGTTGCCAGCTGATGCAGCGGCTTCCATCTCATCAGCTTGTTTTGATCACCAAGATTCACGATCAGAGCGATGGCTTGCTTTCAGTTGTTGCGTAATAGAACAGCGGTGTTCGTTGTACTCTGCGCCAGCAGGCACCGCTCGTCGACGATCCAGCAGTTCCGAGGATCTTCCCGAGATCCAGCTTTTGGGAGCGGAGCGAGTGAGGCCACAGCTGGACAAACCGGCCGACAACAAGGCTCGTTGCAGGCTTGACCAGTGTTGAGCAACATCCAGAGTGGGAGAGAGAGAGAGAGAGATTTTCACGAAGCCTTTGTTGATACTCCTTCTTCACCATTGGGTCCTCAACTTGTACGCGTTCAGTCGGGTGTGTCTGGACCTAGGTGGACCACTGAAACGCATGCAAACGGTCGCACATACCAGTGCGTGATCGGTATCGACGCATGTTGACCAAAATAATCGGCAATAGCGTACGCTGCTGCGACTTGTAGCTATGTGGTCAATCGGTGACCAGCGCTGGGTTGATGATAGGAGACGCCAAGTGGCGTACTGGCGTCCAGGATGACGAAAGCTTGTGCTGGAGAAGAAAAGCTGATGATCAGCACACAGGCTGAGCAGTCTCACCCCGTTGTGTGGGCGAACATCATCATATCCATGCGGTCCCCCGAGGTGGCGCTCACATGGCAGTAGCCGACCGATACGCGCGTTGACGTATCCTGCCAAAACAATGTTATTTGTTTTAGGAGCCCTTAGGAGCAGCACACAAAGGTTCTCGCAGAACTGGTCTTCGAGTGAGTCCGAGCTACAGTCACTGGGCGCGTAGGCAGAGATCACGCTTTTCGACTCGACGTCTGCTAACTTTACAAGAGCCATGGAGCCTCATCGCACAAAGGCGATTATTGATCGGAATCCAATCAATCAGTGCAGTCTCGGCTCTAGCACTGAGGGCGATTCCAACATCAGCTTGCCCAGACGCGGCAGACTTAGCGTCACCAGAGAGGCGGAGATGGAAGCGGATGCGTGGGTGGGGAGGTGACGCCAGTTGACAGACCGAGTTAGAGTCCTGGAGTCGTGTTTCACACAGGCAGCAGACATCAATTACAAGGGTCTCTAGCGTGCGCGCAAGTCCAGGTTGCTGACCGATCTGCAGTAATGTGCGTATGTTGAAGGCTTCAAGTTGGAACTGCGTTCCGGGTTGCAGGAGCGAAGATGAGAGACTTTGGGACTGGCAGCTCTCTGTTGAGCACTGTGTGGTTGAGTTGTCAGATGTCACGGGAACAGGTTCATCGGTGTACATGGGGTTGCTCGCCGTAGAGGATTTAGGTAAAAATGGG